CTTTAGCTGCAACTGTTCAATGCAAGAATCACGGGAGTTGTAGTTTTACAAGACTTTGCGTCACCAAACTTGGATCCCATAGGACCAATCCATGGCAGTTAGTGGTGTCAAACTGCATTAATTCTGCAGTGTAGATGCATCCTTTGTATTATCCAATAGGGTTAGGATTCGTTTCAAAAGGGGAATTGCTTGCCAGAACACACTTGAGTGGATTTTGTCCAGTATATTCCATCCCTTATATAAAAAGGGAATTCTTGAAAACAGTTCTGTCACTGCAGTCATATAGCTCTATAATCTTATTAAATGGCAACATAGGGAAAAGTCTCTCTTTTAAAATTTCCAATATGTTAATGTATAGTAATAACATCATTTTGATTTAATTTTGAGCCCCTGATGGCGAAAACATGCAAATGTGGGTAGATCAATAGGTGGGAAGGTAATGGTGGGAAGGTAACGGTGCTCCATGCAGTCATGTCGGCCACGTGACCTTGGTGTCTATGAACAACGCCGGCTCTTCGGCTTAGATATGGAGATGGGCACCAACCCCCAGAGTGGGACACGACTGGACTTAATGTCAGGGGAAAACCTTTACCCTTACCTAGACATCTGCAGCCAGTTTTGCATAGGAACTTGTAACATTGGGGGGGGGGGGCAGTGACATTTGGGGGGGTAGGGCAAATCAGCCCTCCTGGTATGAAAGCCTGCTGATGCAAAAACAAGAGGGAGCCAATCTCAGCTCCTCCTCTGCTTTTCGGCATCACAAAATAATCTTTTTTATTAATCCCCCAGCAAACAAAAAGTAAACCCTCATTCCCTGAAAACTACTCCCTTCTTCCAGGAGGTCATCGCTCTTCCATACCTGGAAGTGGGAAGCCTCCTTAAAATGCCTTTGGCTGGCTGGCCTGGTGTAACCTGGGAGACAAAGTGTGCATGCCTGTCTGCAGCCGAGTGCTTCCTCTAGAGTAAGAAACAGAACTTGCCTTCTTGCCTTGGAAAGAGTGTGTGTATATGTGTCATGCAGGCCCAGAAAGTGCACACACCTGCCAGTACCTGTGGCATGCAGGCCCAGAAAGCATGTACAGATAAGAAGAAGCCTCCTTAAAGGATGTGAGAAGGGGAGCCTAGGAGCCCCCCCCCCCCATAAAGGGCTGATAGAAGATGGATATTTCGGCACCCCAGAGTGAAAACAGATATCTGCCCTCCCAATTTCAGGAGGCTCCCAAATGGATCGGGGGCCCCACCGAATGCCAGAACATGAAATGGGTCAAGGTTTACCCTGAATGCACAAAACTAATAGGGATGCCCTTCTACTGCTGAGTTGACTCAGGTGTTCCTGCCGGGCCGCAATGAGGGCCTGAACTGGCATTTTTGACACCAGTTCTGGCCTGCATTATTGGGCTGTGTACAACCGCCCTTAGAAGAATATAATAAAGTGCATACTTGTGTTGTTTTGTAAATGCCAAGATTAGTAGTAAAGCATAAAATAAATCATTGCCTTAAAAAGTATGTGCCTGGAATATAAAAGGAGAAGTAGCAGCAAGTCTTACATGTTACATGAGGAAGGAGGTATGGTTTTCTCCAAAGCTTCTGTCTGATTCGCACTGCTGTAGTCAGCAAATAAGCAATTACTACATCGTTTTAATGGACTATAAAGTGTCTGTATGCTATAATTATAGAGTTAACATATGAGAGAGATTGCTTTGTGTTAGTGCCAAAGGGTACTTCTTGAGGTTTCTGACAGATTTGAAGTCTACATTATTTTCTTTATTTTAAACAAAGGGATTACTATTAAAGAATGGCTCCTGAGTAAACAACATGCATTGCATGAGGATTAGCATAGACAAGCACCTTGTGGGTAAAAAGACATGCAGTGTTTACAGTCTTATTTGCATATGGTTTTTCTTTTCAAATGCAACTCCCATACCCTTACATATGATGTACATAATTTGTTATATTTGAAATATGACCCTATAGTTCTACTTGTGTATCTTAAAAATTTGCAATGTTATATTATTGTAGTTTTTTAAATTAAAGACAAATAAAATTACAGCTAAAGAAAAGTTGTTTAAATAACTTTATTTATTGGTATTCACTCAGTAGCAGGTTTATATGTAAGGTGATTTTTTGTGACTGCTTTTGATGCATTAGGGAAATGTGGCAATAACAAACATAAGATTACTGCCTCCATACAATCAAGCTGCCATTTTTATATGATAGTTAATATTTAAATGGCATACTCCTGCATCTTCTGACAATTGGTATAATGGTAATACTTTATGAGTCAATATATATTTAATCAGTGAAAACTGTTAAAATTGATGAGAAATGTATAACAGTGCCATGGTACCTCTCTTAAATAAGAATAGGCCTTTGTTGTTTAATTTTTGTGAACCTATTGAAATTTCACATGCTGTACTTGTTTATACATGCAGATTTTTTAAAAAGAATTCCTGAAAATACCTTATATTTCTTAAGAATAATAAAATTAGTCACTGTGTTATCTCACCAAGCAAATATTTTCTAGAGGGATTTGAAGCACTATGAATTGTACTTACATGCTAAATTCTGACATGAAGCATGATAGCCCTATTTCAGAGAGAGATGGGTGCATGATTAATATGAAAATTAGAGAGATGCAAGTACCTGAACTAATAAGGTAGTCCTTATTCAGGCTGGACTACCTTCAGTAATTTCACCATTTTTCATGTGTCAGTTCTGATGTGGGTTACTGAAAATAAGCATTTCTGTAGAAAGCATTTCTTTCTACTTGGGGATTTTAAGGGCATTCAAGATTTGTATATACTGTATATATATACTGTATATATTGGGGGGAAATGGTACAAATGAGGCTGTTTGTATTTAGGTTTTAAAATAAAATAAAAATAGTACATTACACATATGCAAACATTTAAAAATATCACAATGCAAGTGAGTGAAAGAGTATCATAAGAGTATCATTGGAACATGGGTTCTCAAACTTTTTCAGCTGTGGAGCCCTCAAGAAATGTTTATACATTATACATATACACACACACACACACACACACACACATATCAGCTAGCTATGGGCCTGGCCAGATGGGTGGAGAATATTCATGTGAACTGATGCTCACTGCACCTCCCCCCTCCAAAAAAAAGGAAAGAATAAAACAATACAATATTTAAAACGAAGAACAATTTTAACCAATATAAACTTAATAGTATTTTAGCGCAAGACCACCAGTCCAACCCCCTTCTGTCATGCAGGAAAAACACAATCAAATCACCCCGAATAGACGGTCATCCAGCCTTTGCAATAATAACAACAACAACAAAAACAACAACAACAATAATAGCAGAAACTTCAGAGGCCATCAAGTCCAGCCCTCTTCTGTCTTGATGGAAAAGCACAATTAAATAACCCCCTGAGTGGTGGGAGGGAAATAGGGCTTTGGAAGCAAAGAAAGCGGCAGTGGGGAGGGAGTCTAGGTGCCAAGGAAAAGCATCTGGGCAGTGAGGGAAGTGGAGGAGAAAGGGCCTGTGCCCTGGAGGATGATGCTGCTGGTGCTGCTGTTGTTTCTGGCAGCAGAAAAATTTAATTTCCCTGCATTTCTCAGGAGTAGGAAAGAGGAGGAGGACATGGGAAGTTACATGGCGCCATGGAGTTCCTACCTATCACCACTGAGCCCCAAGATCTCTGCGGAGCACAGTTTAGAATATTAGGATAGTGTAGATGTAGATGTGTTTTGTGTCTGTGTGTATATGTGTATATAAGTGTGTGTGCATATATATATGTGGGTTTGCGCATGTGTTGTAATGTATTTTTTGTAATCTTTTTGACTTTTTAAGCCTCTTCCACTGTGTTTTCCATTGTTTTATGAGTGATGGTCACTCGTTGACCTGATACATGTATTGTGTCCAAATGTGGTGTCAATTCATCCAGTGGTTTTTGAGTTATATTAATCCCACACACAAACATTGCATTTTTATTTATATAGAGCAGTAAAATATGTTTCATTCTAAAAGGGTTTTATGTGTTTTTGTTATATAGTGTACATTAATTGTGTCTTGTTCCTCACCTCTTTGCTGCCTGGGGCCTCTTGCTGCCACTTGGGTCCCATGCGGCGTCGCAGCAAGAGGCCCCAGGCAGCGATGAGGAGGAGGAAGAGGAAAATAAGGAGGGGGCGGCTCTTCTTCCCCCCCCCTTGCCCTCTTCCTCTTCCTCCTCCTTGGGCCCTGCAACTGAGGAGGCGTCGCGGGGCCCAAGTAGCAGCAAAAGGCCCCATGCGGTGATGAGGAGGAGGATGAGGAAGGTAAGGAGAGTGAGGGGGGAAGAAGAGATACCCCCTCACCCTCCTTACCTTCCTCTTCGTCTTCCTCATCGCTGCATGGGGCCTCTTGCTACCGCTTAGGCCCTGCAACTGAGGAGGTGTCATGGGGCCCAAGCGGCGCCAAGAGGTCCCATGTGGTGACGAGGAAGAGGACAGAAGGTAAGGAGGGCGAGGAGAGAAGGTGAAGGGGCATCGCTACTTCGTGGAATTTCACCTATTGTGGGTGGTCCAGGAACGTAACACCCGTGATGAGTGAGGGACCACTGTATTCTGAAAAAAGGCATGGCAGACTGCCTGAGTATATTAAAACACTTTATGACACATGTCATTTACAATGTTCCAATTTAAATAATTTGGTTTTTGTTTATAGATATATTCAAATAGTATGATTATCACCAGATGAGAAAGTGGAAGTGTCCCTATTTAATTGTTGCTTCTGAAGTACAATTACATGTATTGCAACATGACAAAACAGAGACAGAGGATAAGAGAGCATATAACAAATATGAATGAAGTTATAGTTGAAAGAATGTATTCACCGAAGTACATCATGAATGTTATAAATCAGGTAAATACATCTGTATAAAACATTGAAATAGACAATGGAGAACTACTTGACATCTATAACACATGAAAAAGTAAGTGAAATCGTATTTCAAAGACATTTCATATTAATTTTTTTCTTATAAGGTGAATTTTGCCCCATCATTGATGGCTCGAATAGTGTTGGAAAGATTTGTACAAGAACAAGATGGATCAATCCGTAAGTAATGCTGTAAATATTTAACTTCATTAAAATAAGGATGATTGCAACTAAACTAGAGGAGGGTAGTTTTAAAATGGTATGTGTGTTATTTCTTTTCAGAAATGGCTAAATCTGGTCCTAATACAAATATAACACATATGTTTGCAAGGATGTGCAGATACCTTTTCTCTCAAATTCTCTTCTTTTTATTAGCACAAAACCTGTGGGACATTCTTGGATCTAGAGATCCTATTGTTCCACGTGAAAATGATGCAACTTAAACCCATTTTGAATATCCACAAAGTAGTGTTTCTGCATCCTTTATTTTATTTTTTTTATTTTTTGTGTCAGGAGCGACTTGAGAAACTGCAAGTCGCTTCAGGTGTGAGAGAATTGGCTGTCTGAAAGGGCGTTGCTCAAGGGACGCCTGGAAGTTTTACCATCCTGTAGGAGGCTTCTTTCATGTCCCCATATGGGAAGAAGGAGCTTATAGACGGGAGCTCACTCCGCTCCCCGGATTCAAACCGCCAACCATTCAATCAATAGTTCTGCCGGTACAAGGGTTTAATCCATTACGCCACTGGAGGCTCCTTGTGTCCTTTATGAAAAGCACTGGAACTTTCTTGTATCATACTTTTAAGGAAAAATACTGTGAACAGAATCCAACCAATGTTAAGCTGTGTCAGCCCCAATCAGTTTCAATGGGGAAAGTAAACATATAAACCATATAAACCAAGAGAATACAGCCTTCTTAACTTTGGCTGGATCATGTCATAAATAATTATAGCAAAAACAATTCTTGAAAAGAAGCCTATGCTACTTTAAAATTCTGCAGCCTTAGAGTAATGCATCTGCTAAATGCAAAAGTGAATTTCACTGAGATCAGTACAAGGTGGCAGGGGGAGGGGGAGAGAAAAGAATAGAGCTTCGGGAGGAGGTTCAAGCCTAAATTAATTTGCCACTGAAAAAATACATTTTGTTATTTTCTCTGTGTCAACTGCATGATTAAAACCGGCTGTTAAGTGAGCTCTGGGGATGTGCTCGTAAAAGATTTATGAGTAATATTCAATGTGATATTCAAAGTGAGTCATGAATATCAGGGTAATTGCTCTCAGTGTTGGCTCCTTTACTAGGCAGGAGTTTGTCAACTGCCCCATAAATATTTGCCTAGTCTCATGTAAAAAAGACAATTTCATCTTCTGCATTTTTATTACCTACTGTAATGTTTACCTTTGGAGCTTGACTATGGGGGATAGGTAAAAGGCTTTAGAATGTGCTTTATACATATATTTTTCTCATTCTGAAGGTAAAAGATAATGCCTACTAAAATATCACCCCATAGCAGATTGCAGAGGGGGTTTTATTGTTATTATTTGCTCTTTTCTTTCTTGCGGCTGAGATTTTTCCATAGATTTTCTTTTAAAGCAGTACAGATATCTGTGACTGGTGGCCCAGTTACCTCATGAAGGTTTCATTTGAATGAATTAAGTACTTCCTCTAAAAATTCAATATCATTTCAATAGATGTAGCCTCTAAAGTAACCTGCAGTGATGCTTCATGAGCAAATCACATGATGTCAGAATGGTATGGTTTCGATTTAATCAAGAAAGAGATTAAAGTGGATGTGTGTTATTTTCAACTTCGCTGCAGCACCGCCATTTGTCAAAGTCAACCTTCTGATTGCTTTGGACCTACTGCTATCCAGGTCTTGTCAAAATAGTAGTCAGCACAGTCCAAAGCAGGTAGACTAGCCTCTGTAGAATAATATCAAACACAGTAAAGCAGAATTCATTGGCTTATGAATTATAAAGTTAACAGACTGATCATAAATTTTGTAGCTATTTAATTTATTTTTATAATGCTGGCACACCTTCTCCATATTTTCTTTTAATTTTTTATCATTCTGTATTATTATACAGTCATACAGAACTGAATGGAAGGTTGAAATAAATTGTGGCTGAGATTTTTAAGCTCTGCCATTGGGCATACAAGCCATTTAAGATTCTGCACTCTAGAAACATCATAACTATATTTAGAAGAAATAATTCCAGGAATGTATTTTCTGGGCAAAAGGAATACATTGATTTAAAATACTGTAGTAGAGACTTGAATATTCAGGCATTCTCTTGGAACAAAGCCTTATATTTCACCATATGTCTCATTATTGTTACATTTTGGATATTTGAGAGCAAATGCTTATAATATGCTTGCCTACATGTTTGTCATATGCAGTAATGTGCAACCACAGTTTGAAGTAGCATTATTGTCAACAGGCTTTAAATGCTGAATATGAGCTTAAACTCTGTTTTACCTATGGTTGAAATAAACCAGAGGGAGATAGAGAAATAATGATTTTCCAGAGAATCCTTCCTTTGAATATAGCATTTATTTGTAGTAGTTTGGAACAAGAGCAGGGAATCACCAGATCAGAGGGCTTTGTAGAATTGCTAAATATGTTAGAAAAGAGCTGTGAGATAGTGTGGCTTCTATTCTGACATCCTCTCCCACTTCACAGCAGCGACCTGGCTGGCCTTTGGCAATGAAATTCAATGCACATGGCTCCGCAGTCAAATCATCAAATTTCCCTGTGTGTATATTAGCGTTTTGTAATGTGTTTCCATTATGAAACAATGCGGGGATAATTGTCTTTGGTAGCAATTAGCTAACAGGTTTGTTCAGTACTATTGGCAGAGGCATCCATCATCCGCTCTCTGACCACACTTTTTGTCTAGCGTGGACTATGGAGATCAATAGAATTCTATATAGGGGAAACCTAGCTTTAATGAGCTGCAAGTTTTGGTCAGTCTTGGATTGTATTTTTAATTTTTACCTTTAAAACTAGACTGGGGGAAGGGAATTTTCCCTTGAGAAAGATGAGTATTGTATATCTACTATTACTTTCTGTAGATCAATGTATAGTTTTAAATTGTTCTATAAAAAGGTATGGGTATTGGCACTGAGAGACACATAGAAACAGTTTATTGCTCCAGCAGCACACACACGTTATAATAATATGCAGTTTTGAAGGTGTCCATTGAACTTTAATTTCATTGTGAAGTAATTTTTTAAAAATATAAAGATTTTTTTGCAGACTGAAGGCTTCCCATTTAGTTATGTATCTGGAAGATTGGGGGAAAGGAGGAAATATTTTTATATGACAAATTACTATAATGCATTATAGCTCCAGTCTTGTACACAGTTACTTCGGAGTAAGTGCAGTTGAGCTCAGTGGAACCTGCTTCTGATACTCCATTCTGACATGGACAGGATTCCAATGCAAGAGTACTCTTTTACAGCTAATCCTCATCCTAAACTATTGGACAGTTTAATAGAGTCGCTTTTCATTGTAACGTTCACACAGAACTAGACCTACATGGTAGTTGCAATATTTTTTTAAAGTCTCGGAGAATGAGCTTTTGAAGGGTTTTGACAGATGAAAACCTAGCTAGAAGAGCAATTTATGCACAGGGAGTTCTATTTTGTTTTTGTTTTGTTCGGGTGGCTAAAACCATGCAAAACAAAAATTGACCCAAAATCCATTTTGCCACGAGTGTATTTTTCATACCACCTAATACAATGTACAGTATTGGGACAAAATATATGATGCTGTAAAATAAAGAGAAACACAGTTTGGAACCATACCATGACAAACTTTTGGAAACTGCTTGACGTCACTGAATTGAAGGCATGTGTTGACTTACTGTTCATGATTGAGGTGTCATCATAGGTTTACTGATGGGCAACATGAAATAATGGAGGAAGGGTGGTATCCAGTTTGAGGCACTACAGAGCAATAATAGGCAGGGGGGAAAGTCACAGGATACTTGAAGTTGGACAAGAGGAAATGAACAATGTATGAACTGGCTGCCTTTCAGGATATATTTCTAGAGCAGCTTCATAAGGGCAGATTTGGACACTAATGAATGGATAACTGTTTTCAGATGTAAATATGGTGGTGGTGGTGGTGGTGGTGGTATTTAATTTCAATAAAGTCAGTTTTGACTTATGGTGATCTTCAAGTCATCCTGTTATCACCTTGCTTAGGATTTCCAAACTCAGCGCAGCATTGGCTTTCTTGATTGAGTTTATCCACTGTAATGTGAACTTTCTCTCTTTCAACTGCTTTGCACTTTCTCATTGTGTTTTCTAATGTGTCAGGTCTTCTCATGACATGTTCAAAATGCAACAGCCTCATCTTATCACTGTATCTTAAATAGTTGATGTTTCCTCCTCTAATTTTCACACCTCCTTAACTCTGAATTTAATTGAGCTGTATGTACAATACAGCCAGTGTACAAGTTAAACAGATAGCATGATAAAATACAGCCTTGCTTGATGTCCTTGCAACTGGAAAACATTTTTGCTCACTACTGTTTCTGGGGAACTGAATAGGCAGGAAAGGCCATGCATGGAAGGTCCTGCCAACACTCCCGAGCTCTGGAACGTTCCATTGGAACCTCTGTGCAGACATGAACCCATTTGTGTGATTTTAAATAATTGGTTTTAAAGTTTTATACGTTTAAATGCTTATGTTTTATTATGTGTGTTTTTGGCAGCTAATTGTTGCCTAAATATATAAGCTGCCTTGAATCCTCTATGGGGTTGGGAAGGGCAGGATATAAATACAGTAAATAAATTTGTGTGAGGCATAGAAAAACCCTTTTGTGTGAGGGCACAAATGACACCAAAGAAACACAGTTACAGATAAGTTACTTGTTCTTCTCCATGTTCTGTCCTGATGGTGGCCTCTTAGCCTTACAGGTTATTCAGCAGGACAGTCCAATGCTGTGGCATACCCTTTTCTTTAAGAGAGATCCATAGTTTTTCATGAATTAAACAATCAAATGCTTTGGTATCATCTATAAGATACAGACCAATGTTCTTCTTAAATTCTTTGGTGTACTCCATTATTCAACATATGTTTGCAGAATGATTCCTAGTGCTTCTTCCTTTCCTGAACCCAGCTTGTGCATCTAGTATTTCAAATTCTATGTATGGCAAAAGTCTTGGTTTTCTGC